ACTTGAGTTTTGTAATTCTGAATTTAATTCTTTTTGTCAAGAATTTGGAATCTTAAGACACAGAACTGTGACTTACACTTCTCAACAAAATGGAGTTACTGAAAGGATGAATAGAACTCTATTGAAAATAGTTAGGTGTATGCTTCATAGTTCTGGTCTTCCAAAACTTTTTTGGGGAGAAGCCCTAAAAACTACAACTTATTTGATAAATAGAAGTCCATCTAGTGCTGTTGATTTCAACATTCCTGAAAACTGTGGTCAGGAAAAATGCCAGATTATAATAAACTCAAGGTGTTTGGTTGTGCTGCCTATTCACATCAAAATGAAGGAAAATTAAAACCTAGATCCTTAAAATGTATTTTTCTGGGTTATGGGGAGGAAACCAAGGGTTATAGACTTTGGGTTAAAGAGCAACATGGTTACAAGGTTATATTAAGCAAGAATGTCATCTTCAATGAAAATATATTTCCTTGTAATAGTTAATTAATTCCTAAATCTAGAGGATCTTCACTTGTGAGAGAAAACTTAGTGGAAGATCAAACTGGAACTGATATAGATCAACATGATTTATTTGAGATGGAGTCTACTCAATCTAGTAATGATAATAATCATAATGATTCAGAATCTGAGACTGAATCATTAAACCCATCACTTGCTGATTATCAACTTACAAGGGATAGAGAAAGAAGAAACATAATACCTTTTACCAGATTCAGTAATAATGACTTTGTCACCATGTTTTCTGTTTTAGACTCCTTAAATTCTGAACCCGAAAATTTTGAAGAAGCAACAAATAGTCCTGACTCTAAGCTTTGGAAGAAAGCTATGAATGAGAAAATGGATTCTTTAATCAAAAATAAAACCTAGGTTCTTATCAACAAACCTAAAGATAAAAGGGTAGTTGACTGTAAATGGATTTTTAAAATAAAACAAGAAGACTCTAAAACAAAAAATAAAAGATATAAGGCCAGGTTAGTGGCTAAAGGTTTTACCCAAAAAGAGGGAATATATTTTTATGAGATCTTTTCACCAGTTGCCAAATATACCTCAATCAGAATTTTATTGGCCTTGACTGCCCACTTTGACTGGGAACTGGAACAATTTGATGTTAAAACAGCTTTCATAAATGGTGACCTTGATGAAGTCATATACATGAATCAACCTAAGGGCTATGAAGTAAAGTCCAAAACTGAAAAGGTTTGTTTGTTAAAAAAGTCCCTATATGGGCTGAAACAGACTTCCAAACAGTGGTACCTGAAGTTTAATTCATATGTTCAAACCATGGGTTTTGAGAAAAGTAGCTATGACTCCTGTTTGTTTCCCAAAGGGTTAGGAGGACCTGAATCTATATATCTGTTATTGTATGTAGATGATATGTTACTTACCTGTCATGATAAATCTGAAATTGAATTTGTTAAATCAAAGCTAAAATCTGAATTTGAAATGAAAGATTTAGGTCCAGCCAAAAGAATTCTTGGTATGGAAATAGAAAGGGATAGATCTAGTTGTACCCTAATTTTAAAACAATCTACATACATACAGAAAATACTGGAAAATTTTTTTATGTCTGATTGCAAATCTGTCTCCTTACCTATTGCAAATCATTTTAAACTTTCTAGTGATCAATCACCTAAGTCTAATGATGAATTGAAAAGAATGGAAAATATTCCCTATGCTAATACTGTAGGATCCATTATGTACCTCATGGTTTGTACTAGACCTAACTTAACTCATGGTATTAGCATCCTAAGTAGGTTTATGGCTAATCCTGGGGAAACTCATTGGTTAGCTATAAAGTGGATGATGAGATACTTGAAAGGCTCAATTGACTTGGGACTAAAGTTTAAAAGAAGTAATGAAGGCATAATTTTAAAGGGGTACACTGATTCAGATCTTGCTGGTGATCTTGATAAAAGAAGATCTACATCCTCTTATATTTTTACTTTGTGTAATGCTTGCATTAGTTGGAAATCTCAACTGCAAAAATTAGTTGCATTGTCCTCAACAGAGGTTGAGTATATTGCTGCATGTGATACTGTGAAAGAGAGCATAAGGTTAAGAAGACTGTTAAATGAAATTGGTTTTGTAAATAAATTTGTTAGCATTCATACTGATAATCAAAGTGCAATTCATTTAAGTAAAAACCCTGTTTATCATGATAGGACAAAGTATGTTGATATAAAATTTCATTTTGTTAGGAATATGGTTGAAAAAGGGTTAATCAGTCTAATTAAAATTCCTACAGAATATAATCCCTCGGACCTTGGAACAAAAATTTTGACACTTCACAAATTTAAGAACTGTTTGAAAATTCTGAATATAACCTAAATTAAATTAGGTGACATTCAGTAACTCATTTTTTGAGAATAATACTAACTTTTAAACTTTTCTTCTTCAGGTACTGTAGAGCTAAATGAAATCAAGAAATATTTGAATCCACTAGTGAAACAAAGAAATAATTCAGCAAGGTGGAGAATGTTAAAAGTGATGGGCTGCCTCACTATTTCCTACTTTGGGCCCTTACTAAATTGAACAAACAAAAGGCCCAAACTTAATGTATTCTCGCGTTTTTGGTTTCACGTTTTACTGCCTCTTATGGTTGGGTGTGTGCCGTACACGTGGCACACTCCCAACCGTTAGATAAAGTTAGTCCAACTGTTTTGATACTTACTTGACCCTTGGTCGTCTGGCTTTTGGCGTTCTCTCTAATTTTCTCTAGAACTTTCAGTTTTTCTCTCTGTGTGGGAGTTCTTTCGTCTCTCTTCTTTCTCTGAAAATGTAATACGAAATCTATATGATTTTGAAAGTCCTTTGAGTAAGGATTTTAAAGTTGAGTGATCTGTGTGATATTGTTGAAAGGAAATCTGTGTGAAATAGAGGCTAGAAAAAGATGAAGAAATCCCTAATTTCTTCGAACATCCTATACTGATTCTTTGTGAAATTAGTGAAAACTCGAGCATATCTCTTGATTGAGGCTCAACGGGTGATTAGCTCCTTGGACTAAACATCAGGGCTCCATTTTGGAGCAAAACATATCTTGTGTTCCTATTTCTGTTTACGCTATTTTATTCTGAAGTAATTTTTGATTCGAGAATAAACCATTTAACTTCAAGATTATATCAACTCTGGGACCAACAGGGAACCTGGCACTTGGACAACTTTGAGAACACGTTTGCTTCCTCTTTGCTAGAGGAGTTTAAGAGCAACAAAATCAAATGTTTGAACTTTCTGAGATTTCGGGGTCATGTTGCTGAATTTTGGTATGTATTTCTCAAGAATGTTCTTTTTACCTTATGATTGCTGAAACCTTATATTTTCGAATATTTACATATCTTATCAGTGCTGATCAGTATGGAAGCCAATTCATACAGCAAAAAATTGAAACGGCCACAACAGAGAAGAAGGACACGGTTTTCCACCAAATTTTTCCTCAAGCTCTTACTCTGATAAATGATGTGTTTGGTAATTATGTAATCCAGAAGGTACCAGCATTTCTTTTCTTTATTAGCTGATCATTACAATCGTCTACATTTATACCCTTCGCCTTTTTAAACTCCATTGTTTAGTTTGTTGGTACTAATTTTATTTCTTTCCAATTTTTTTAACATGGAATGGCAGCCCACATTAGAGAATTTGGTAGCAAGCTTTTTGCACATGCACTTACACCTAGGCTTCAAATGTATGGTTGACGGGTAATACAGAAGGTAACATCAGATTTACATTTTGTACAACTTTTCGTTTGCTGTATTCGTTCATGCTTCCTCCTTGTGACATGCTATTTCTCCAAATGAGCTATTTCATATTCTCATAGATAATTTTGGTATTTGAATCATATATTTATAATAAAAAAAAACTACTACAGTTAACAAAAGTAGTGATTTTATGAATATCTAATTTGTAAAGTATTTGAAAACTTAGGCTGTTCAAGTTGTTAATGTGGATGAGAATATCAAGATGGTAGAAGAGCTTGATAGACATGTCATGCGTTGTGCACTTGATCAAAATGGTAACCATGTCATCCAGAAATGCATCGAATGCATTCCAGAGGAGCACATCTAGTTTATTATCTCAACAATTTTTTTGACCAAGTTGTCTCTCTTTCTACTTATCCATATGGGGTGTCGTATGATATAGGTTACATAACATCTTAATATACTTTGCTCTTTTTTTATTTTAATAATTTGATAGTGATGTTTTATTTTCCAGGGTACTGGAGCACCGTCACGATACAAAAATCCAGTGTAAAGTTATGGAAGAGATTCTAGGGTCCGTAAGCATGATGGCACAGGAGGATAAGTATGGCAATCATGTCATTTAGGTTTGCAAAGTTTTTTGAATATATTAATTTATCGTCTAAATATTGTCAGCATGTTAGCTTTGTGTCTACATTGCCAAGTTCTGTCTGGAAATATCTGAAGCCAAATTTGTTGTATGAAAAGTTTTTTTAAGGTTTCAAGATGGATAGATTTCACATGCTCATTCCATTAGAAACAGAGTTTGCTCACATCCACTTCAGATGAAAAATTGCTCTATTATGCATCGTATGTTTAAAAAGAAGTCATCAAAGAATAAAAGAGAGATAAATCCATTTTGAAGACGCTATAACATTACCTTAAAAATAAATAAGCCAGTGCATTGCATGGACCGAGGACTAGTTTAAATAAAGGTTAAATGAAATGCTTCTAATACCAAAAATTAAAATGATTATAACTTTTAGCAATGCTAAATCTATCTCACACCAAGTAATCTTGACTCATCTAACTTTTGAGCATCTAAATACACGAAGAAACATAGAAATATAACATTAAGCAAGCATAACTCATGCACATGATGTTTCAACATAGTTTCATCATTGTGAATCATTTCGTTCTTTTCTTTGTTGACATATGGGTATATATTTCAATATTTCTCATATCAAAAATATCACAGTCGTTCTTTTCCTTGTTGACATATGGGTATAGATTTCAATATTTCTCATACAAAAAATATCACTACAGACAAAAGTCGAGATCGTGTGACACATAAGATTTAACCTTCTTATCTATAATTGTTTTACAAGAATTCTATCATCTTTCAGTCAAAAAAAAAAAAAAAAAAAAAAGGCATTTCTTTTGAACAAATTACTAGTGCCGTGAAATAGTCACAAAATATGTAGCAACACATTTGCAGGTGAAATTTGCCAAGATTTTATATTAACACTTGTGATTTGCTAACTATTCACTGTACAGACCCCCAACCCATCCCACCAACTACAGTTGATAAGAATAATTGGAAAACAGAAATGCAGATTTAAGCCAACACAAGCTCCTCTTCCTCCCGTTGCTGTACCAGTTCTTCAGATAATCGTCCTCTGCTGTAGGGAAGAAGAACGCGCTTTATGTCTTCTGAATTAAGAGTCTCGTACTCCATAAGTGCACTTGCTAAAGCATACAGTGCCTTTTCATGCTGAAAAAACGAGGACAAAATTGTGTTATAAGGGAAACAAATCAATAAACCGGTCGCATTAGATGGTTATTGTAAAATTGTTTAAAGAACCTTCTTCAGCAAGGCTTTTACGCGATTATAAGCTTCCCTAAGTAGCTTGACCACCTGTGCATTCAATGAACATATTAAGAACAGTACGATATATTTTCAATATTTGAAATAACAGCAGAATTGGAAAGCATACTTCAGCATCAATACGGGATTGCATCTCTGAACTGGGCCGTTCTTTAATGTGGACAGGTCCAATTGCATCGCTCATCCCACAAGATGATACCTAGCAAGAGAGAAAAAATGATCAGAACGTTCGAGCTTTCTGATCTATTTTTCCATCACGTGACAGCTCACAGTAAATTTGATTGTAAGGGATTATAAAAAAAAAA